AAAAAAAAAAAAAAAAAAAAGCTAAAAAATAATTGTAAATTACAAGATTGATATCTAGTTTGTCACACATGTCAGAGCTGTCAAAAACTTTAGGATTGATTGATGGAAACTCTATGACAATCATCTAACTACCAAAATGATCCTTAGTCCTGTGCCAGAACTACAATAAGCCGTGGGAGATGCTGGTGTAGTGGGCACTGCTGGGATGAGGACCTGGAGGTTGGTGGTGATGGCCAAGACACAGCCTGGAGCCAGGCCCTGGGTCCATGGAATTGGGGAAAGTAACTGCTAACATGAGCCATTTCTGGGTTTTAGTAGGGGTAGCCAAGGCCATCCAAAATCCTGTATGGTTTGTATGTGCATGACCAATTCTGCATCAGGATGTTCATTATAGATTCTTTTTATGAAGAGTATCTCTGCTTCTGTTTGTGTATTGTCTTGCTCAATCTAGTCTCGACTCTTACCTGAATATTCCTGTGATATAACAGAATATACACATTAAATAATAGCAGGAGGATGGTGATGATATTTATATTTCTATTCAATTTGTATTAAACTTGTCTTTTGCAACTATGCTTTCTTAATTTCAAAAGTGGACTTCTGTCAATCCTCTATTGTCAGGATTTTAACTGTATATGTGATGCCTATCATTACTAATATATCATGTTTGACAAGTGACCACTGTGTATTTTGCTGTTATCAGCTAGTGCACATTCACATACAAGATAAGATTCTGCTTTATTTATATGTTAAAAAAATTAAGCAAATATAAGCAAGAAAATAATTATAATAATGTTAAATCCATCTTTATTTCTTCTTAGGTACTTTTCAATGTATCAGTTACAATGAAAGGATGTCATACAACTGGAGGAACAAAATATGTCATACTTAAGCCTATTGGTTTCAATGAAACTGCCATTGTCAATGTGCAGCAAAGCTGTGCCTGCCAGTATGGAGACAGCACAGGGCACAGAGTGTGGGCTGATGAAAGTTCTCCTGACAGCACACAGTCTCAGTGCAGTGACAATAACTGTAGCTCTAACAGAGACACGATTCCCTCAGAGAAGTGCAGGCAACACCAGGATCAACCCGTGTGCAGTGGTCAAGGAAATTGCATAGATGGAAAATGTTTCTGCTACAAAAACAAGCTAGGCAAGGTGTATGGCAAGTACTGTGAAATGGATGATTTTTCCTGCCCGTATCACCAGGGAAACTTGTGTTCTGGTAAGTTGCAGTGTTTATGTCTGTATTTTCTTGGTTTGTTTTGTTTTCTGAGGCTACTTTACATGATGCAGCTGAAAACAATGATATAAGGCTGTCAAGAACAAGAATTGTTTGTGCAGAATTAGTGTGGGAAATGTCCTGAACATCCTGTTAGGAATTCACACTCCTGGGCTCTCTTCACCACAGGCATACACACTGTCTTCTAAATTTCACCACCATTTTCTAGGGGATACATTTTTTTTTTCTGAAATTTAGCTATTTTAATATTTAAATCTCAAAATTCTTAATAGTAATGATACTGATTTCTCAAACAAAAAATATTATTCCAGGAAGCTAGATGATACATTTCAGTCTAATGGGAATATGAAATACTGAGAGATTAGGAAGGGATCATAGCTTCCAGGTGAAGTTCTGATTTTCTACCATCCTGAATCAGTTCTGTGAGTCATACAGTAGCACATGATTTCAAATACTGGCATAAGCATAAACACTGTAGGGAATGCCTGATTCAGAAAGGAGACTCTAAGAGTTGTTAGAAATTCTTATTCTTTTTGTAGTTCACTTTATAGTAGGGGAGAGGAAAAAAAAAGAAAAAAGGAAAAGGGAAAAAGGAAATGGAAATGGAAGTGGAAATGGAAATGGAAATGGAAATGGAAATGGAAATGGAAATGGAAATGGAAATGGAAGGAAAGAACCTGGCCTGTGCACATGAACTTTATACTCCTTCCACTGACTCTTGCTGTTTATTTGAATGGAATGTTTTCTTGCTAAAGAGAAGTTTGTTTTGTTTGCTTGAAGACTATTTTCCTGGTCATTGTGTAATTCCTAATCTCCATTGTTTTGATCCAAAGCAAAAGAGCAAAATTTTAGTAAAAGGTTTCAGGGTGACATCATAAGAGCAACTTTTGCTCAACTTAACAATGAACAGCAGCCTTCAATATTGATCATGCCAGTAACTTTAGTCCAAGTTATTAACTTAAAAACTAATTAGAAAGTCCAGGCCTAAATTTGCTCTGCTTAAGGTAAAGCACAAGCAATACAAATGTATCCATCTAAAATTTATTTTCTGTGTTTTCATGGAAGCATATGACTCCAGACTCTCTGTGTTATAGGTAATGGTGAATGTGAAGGTGGTAAATGCAAATGCTTTGCTGGCTGGGAAGGTGATCGTTGTGAGTGCTCATCACAATCAGCAAAGCACTGCCTGAATTCAAAGGGCCAAATTTGCAGTGGAAGAGGAAAATGTGTATGTGGAAAGTGTGAGTGCACAGATCCAAGAAGCTTTGGCCGTTTCTGTGAATATTGCCCTACTTGTAACAAAGCCTGTGAAGAAAACTGGTATGTTTCTTGTGCTAGACTTTACTTTTTCACTCCCTAGTGTTGAAACATGAAGAAATAGTTCTGCTTATATTTTGTAGCTATTTAGATTCTAGGAAATTGGTACAATTCATACTTGATACTTCTCTGTGTAGTTGGATTCACATTGACAATTAAGAGGATTGCATGTCAGCATCTATTTTAACTATTCTTCATATGAGATCTCCTGGGCAGGAAATAAAACCATAAATTTGTTGTTTTAAAAATGGAAAATAGATCTGACTTTTGAATGCCACCAAGCCAAATAATATTCCACATTTGTTTCTACAAACTCCTTGTGCTTCTCAGCTGAAAGAATGAGGTGTGGAGCTAGAGCAGTATTCGTGCATTGTCACTGCCATTGATCAGCACAGCAGAGCTGGTCTTACCCAGAGAGCAACATTCCTCAGTGCTCAGTCTCAAAACACTTAGTCTTTGCCATGATAGTCTTAAAGCATGTCATTTTTCCTTTCTCATGTAAAGGAAGGGGTAGTGTGGAGGCTGAAATGAGCAAGTCCATGAGGAGACAAGCTAGACCAGGCTCTCAGTGATGCACTGTGTGGTCCTGGCACAGAGAGCAAATGAAGTCCTTTCTCTGGGCACAGCTCTTCTACACCCTCTCATCACACATATAAGATTCTGCATCTCACTGTGGTGCAGAGGGTGAAAGATCAGCCTTCCATTGGAAAGGTCATTATGCTCAAAACTGAATCAGTGTTCATTTGTATTTATTTCAATTATAACTTATCTGGTGAAAATGCTGGAGAACTAAGCTTGACCACATCTGGAAAGGTTGCTGCTAAGATTTCACTAGATAAAATGCAGTTAGCCTTTCTGGCTTACACTTGCTCAAAATCACTGTGAAATGTGTGCTTTCAATAAACTCAGAAGATGTCATATCTTCATTAAAAATTCAATGAGGGCTTTTTTTGGGATCTCTTATGACATCTGTCTTCTTCAGGGCTATACAGTGAAGACGGTAAGACTGAGAGCATTGCCTCCTGCTTGTCGTGCTCTCTCTCTAAACTGCCCAGCAGTACAAACTTACTTGGCTTTATCTTAACATAGCACCAAAACATTATTGACAAAGCTGTGTTTCCTCTACCTACCTCTACCATTCAGTTCCAGAGAGCATCCAAATGAGAGTGATAGGTAAGGAAAGATTAGAAAGTGGAGGCTGAAAACTGAAGAAAGCTGGACCTTAGCCACACCCTTGCACCACAAAAGACAGAGCAGATTGGGTGAAGGTGGCTCGAAGCCAAAGAGATGTTTTAGTTTGCAATGTCTGACTAGTAGGTTCTGAGAAGCATCAGAGGGATAAAATGCTGAGAGAGGCATCACATTTCAGAAAAAAATAAATAAATGTCGCAATGTTTTTACTAACAACGGGAAAGCATTATGTGCAAGCAATACGTCAGCCTGTTGATACAATCTCTTAAAGGGGAGTGCAGAGAAAGACATAGGTTTTTAATTATAATTTTTATTTTATAGGAACTGTGTTCAGTGCTATCATTCTAACAATGCATCTCAAGTCATACTTGACCAGTGCACAACCTCATGCACTTACCTACTGCATTATATTGATAATACTTCAGGTAAGTGGCATTTTCTAGGTAACTTTAATAAGAGATTTAAATCTATTGTGATTAGTAACTGAGTTTGCCAGTGTTAGAATGTCTTTCAGATGTATATCACATTGCTGAAATAAAAAAGAAAGAAAACAGGAAAAAGAAAAATCATTTATAGCTTTAGGGAAAGATAAAGATAAATAATAACAGGAAATAAGATTGTCAAGCATTGCTAAGTTCAATTTCCCAGCTCCTCGAGAAGTCACATCTAATAATGATGAATCCTGCCTGAGCAATGCTTAAAGAAATATTTATAAAAATTTGTTATGGCATCTGTATGTTTTATTACATTGACTATGCTTATAGTATTTGACATTACCAGAAACAGGAAAGGAAGAAGTAGAATGCTTACCTCAAGTTCAGTAATGTTTAAAAGTTCCTTTCAAGTATAAAAAAATACAGTTATGAGGTCCATGGAAGAATAAAATCTTTTTAAATAAAATCTCACAAAGTTTAATCACTCCATGCAGCAATTAAAATGCAGGTAAGTGGTTACCTTTTGTCACTTAACATTTATATAAATTAATATTTATATAAATATTTTTATATTACAGTTCATAAATGAGAAAACTAATTGTGAATACTTTTTTTCATAACTTAGGTATTAAGGAAAGCTTATTGTGTTAGTCTACCAGTGAGGAGAGCACTGGATAAGGGTTCAATAAAATACGTTTTCTTTCCAATTTTACCAGTAATCTTTACTGTTGTCTTAAATTCTCTCTGCCCCAAACATATCTAATATTTCATCCTCTCTACTTCAGCTATAAATTCACTCATCTACAGAGAATTTATGGCAGGCCATACAATGAAGCCTGAGTCTTAGTTCTGTAGATTAAAGGAATAGTTGTTTCACTATTTTTCTACAATGGATCTTGAACTGAATTGCCTTTCATGATATGCCCGACTTTATAAGCTTGCATATGACAACTTTTCCTCTTAATTTCCCTTAATTTATTTTCATGTTAATTTTTATCAGGCTTGTATTACTTTGTGCAACATTACTGAGCAGTGGTGGATATGCCTGTGTTAGAGGGATGTGCCTGTTCCATACATCAGGCTTTACCCTTGTGTTTTCCTTTCATTGCAGATTGTTTCTCTGGACGAAACTACTTTAGAGTCTTTTCCATAATCTTTATAGTTACCTTTCTGATCGGGTTGCTTGTTGTCCTTATCATCAGACAGATAATTCTACAGGGGAGTAGCAGTAAAGTTAAATCTTCATCTGATTACAGAGTATCTTCAACAAAGAAGGTAATGATTTCAGAGCCATCATCTTCAGTAATCTTTTTCTTGCATATAAAAGTTAGCTAATTGCTGATAAAAATTGTATCTTCTCCTTCAAGGAAAAGATGTTTTTGCCTACAGTTTGTACAAGAACAGTAACATACAGACGTGACAAACCAGAAGAAATAAATATCGACATCAGCAAGTTGCGATTAAATGAAACTTTCAAGTGTGAATTCTGAAGACTGCAAATGTCTATTTCCATCATGGTCATCTTTTAAGAAATTACCTTTTATACTCTGTGAGAGTCTTGACTGTTGCCATATGGGTTTGTGTTGTGCATTTTGTTGAATACTGTAACAAAGTGACATGTAAACATATTCACATTATGTGATTATGTTTGGAACTATAGCTGCTGTATTTTTTAAATTTTTTTTGAAAGAGAAATGTGCATTACTACTGTTCAGAGACATTAGTGTTGATGTAGCACTTTAGCATATTCTAATTTATTTAGTTATGGCCTAGAATGTAGATACAAACGAGTCTGACAAAGCACTGATCTCACTCTACATGTAGCTAGTACTGATGTGCTCTGTGGGAATGGACAAAAGCTGTGATTGAAGTATTAACATTGCTGTATATTATAGCAATAGATTAAACTATTAAAATGCTCTTAAATAGAGTAAATGGTACTTTTATAGTTCTCTCAGTTGACAGATTCCACTGATTTGTCTGCTTATTCCTCTTATCTTTTCCTCATAAAAATAATGGAATTAAATGAGTGTTTAGTTCCTGGTATAGGTATATGTTGTGTATGTATACATGCACATATGCATGCACACACAGGTAAATTATATATTTATAGGGTTTTTTGTATGGAATTTGTCACTTAAGGATAATTTATATCCAATAAAGAGTAATTTTAAGCTTTAAGCTTTTTACTTTTTTAAATATAACGCCCCTATTTTATGCAAAATTGAAGGTGTTTGGAAAATGAGTGTTCCTCTACACAACAGCATAGTCTACATAATGATCACTGCCAGCAGACTATGCCTTTAGAGTCAGCAGCATTAAATCCATTGCAAATAGATAAATTGCACCAGAGCTGTATTGGTTTGCTAGCTACATGTCAGTGTTTTGCCAAATAAGGATTTGGATCTTTTTGTATGATGTCAGGCATAAGTCTGATTTTACATGTGCTCTTTTTCTCTATGTAAATGAGTTGATGAGATTAGGTTTTCTAAGTTTTTTTGTAACCACTTCAGTTTTTTGTGACTGTGCATTGAGAAATGTGTCCAGTGTGTGATGGAGAAAAGAACCTGCAATTTAGAAGAAAGTGAGGAAAATAAGAGTCTTTTTCTTAAAAGAACACATGAATTGACTTTTTAAATATGGATCAGATTCTGCCTTCAGAAATGTGCAAAATTCTTCCAAACATGATGGGACCAATATAAGCTTATCTGAGAGCAGAGTGTGAGCTACAAAGTCAAGAAAAACATCTTTTTTTTTTATCCCTGAAACCATCTAGAGTGGTAGAACACGTGTTATTGTTACATGTTTGTTGGAAGCATCAGTCTGATTTACTAACTCTATGCTGCTGAAGTGCTATGCAAATCTATCAACCTCTAATGCACTAAAACCTTGCTGGCAAAAAGAAAAATCATCTCAGAAGACAGTGTACAATTTCACTAATATTTATTACTAATACTAAATACTGTCACTATTTGTTATAGATAAGAGTTGCAGAAACAAAGCAGGACTTCCTTATGTGCAGTCTTTAGAAATTACTTGCATTTCCTATTCTGTATTTCTTCTGTAAATTCCCACTGAAACCTGAAGACTGTGAGGATTGAAAGGAAGTCAGGGTGTAGAAAAATGATGAGTGTTTTATGAGTTTTTAGTTTCTTGTGTATTGGATGAAGTGGGATTGAGAAAACTAATATACAGACAATGGGTCTTTCATTAGTCATAAATGCATAGGGATTGTTTTTTTAAAAAAAGTGTAAATTGGATTTTTAAAGCAGTCTCCAAAGTAGGTCCTGAGCTTTCTACCACACAGGTAAAATTATCTCATTTACACTGACCCTGACTTTAGTGTTAGCTTAATTGTAGAATCTTAGTTATAGATTAATTCTGTAGTCTATGAACTACACCTTAAACTCTCATTTTCTTTTAAAGTGTATAGGATCATTTTCCTCCTGTGTAAATGAAAATATTTCAAACAACTGGTTTTGGTGGGATAAAGATAAAAGATTGATAAAAGTTAACCTGCTGTTACCCTTGTCACAATTCATGGCTATTTGTGAGTGGGAAACTATTTCTGGTTGTCTTAAATTTAAAAAATGCTTAGTGCAGTATATCTGAGTATATAAAAAAGAGGTTAATTATGTTCTTTAAACAGGGTGATAAACCCTTGGAAAAAAAGATTCCTCAGAATCTATTTATCATAATGGACTTTAAAGCATGTACTAAAGCATTTACTGAACTATCTTTTTTACATTAGAAATTACTTTTCACTATTAGAGGGAGTTCAATTTTGTGGGTATGGGATAATGAAACTGGGTTCTTGGTGGTAGAAAGACTTGAGCTGTAATACCCATCTTCCAGACACATCACATCAAGCTGCTACTGCTTTTCTTCGGTAGCACTTGGCATTGGACTGCTGCCTGTGAAGGGGCACGGCCAGTATTTCCTTATCAGAAACCTGCCTGAATGTTTAAAATGCTCTCATCAAATAGAGCAGGCTCACAGGACAAATTGCACTGTAAGCTGCTTGCTGTCCTGAGATTAAAAAAAAAAAAAAAAAAAAAAAGGAAAAAAGCTTTCTTGCATCTCCCTCATGGTTTTGCTGTATTGTGGTAGAGGCTGGTGAAAGAGAATAAGCTGCTGCTAATGTGACAGGTCAAGGCTTTTAGAAGGCCCGTGGGGAGCTTATACAGAGCAGGATTCTTGGGAGGAGGCTTTGTTTCTAGGGATGGAATCTATCCATGAGAAACTCTGGCTTTGCTTGGTACTTGTTTCCCTCTGCCTTTGACCATGTTTTTCAGAAGAGCTGCTGCAGGAGATGAATAGCTCAACAAAAGCCTCACTATTTAGGGAGCTGTGTTCTCTCAGCACATGACCTTAAATGAGAAAGCAGCCTTTAATTCACAAGGAATTTCTTCAGTGATTGCAGAAGGACTGTGCTTCCTATAGTACTTAATATGGGAGATATTAAAGACAAATTAGTTCATAATAGTTTTCAATGTATTGTACATCAAAGATGCTCATAAAAATAGGGGAAAAAATAACTAACCTCAGAATAGAACATTTAAAAGTTCTCAAATAACACTTCTTATACTGGGCTTCTTCAAAAAAATTTAGAAAGAAGTCCAATAATTCTACTGCATGCTTATATCCAAAAGTATACCAGCAGATACTGCTGTGTCTCATCATTGGTTTAGGGAATTGTTTTTAGATCTGGTCTCACAAATGAAGCATGTGCATGACTTTTCACAGCATATTCGTTACTGTTAAAATCCATATGTATACTTTGCAAATTTTTTAACCTTTTTTAACCTTTGAACCATTATTTGCCTGACACTTCAGAAATTTCATGTGTATGTAATTAAAAAGTATGAATTTTTCTATGGATTTTTTTGACCATAAAATGAAGAAATGCTATGAAATAGTTATTTCCAACCATCATGACTACGCTAATAAGATTGCTGCAGAAATGTGTGGGAAAATAGCTGTTTCATCCAGAAAACGTGCACATGGTATGCAAGGAATTTTCATTGTACCCAGCTGAAATTCCTTTACATTTGCAAGGACGTTAAAAATGAACCTTAAAAAGGAAGGATGTTCGTATGGACATAGTTTACGTTTGAACTATTATTTACAACTGGATTTATTTTTTCCTCTCTATGATGTCATGAAAACCTGCTATGTAAAGCATTCTTCTGAGTGCAATGGAAAAATATTATTTTCCCAATCGGATCATATATTATATTTATTTCCTGCTTAGTGTGCATGTTTTGCAAACCGTGGGAGTGAATGTGTGAAACCGCTTCTAGCAACCCTCCATCCTAAAATAGACATAGGCTCTGGTGATGCCCAGGGCAGAGACATGCAAGGGCACAGCTGCCTGTGTGGAGCCTTCCAGAGGGACAGTGCTGGGGCTCCCCACAGCATCCCTGAAGAAATGGTGCTCTGAGATCTCGCTTTGCCTTTTGTCAGGACAGGAAACCTCTTCAAAGTAGGTTGGCTTGGCAGTGGTGGTGCCCTAGGTTTGCATCTCAGGCACTTGGCCCCAGGCTGGGACTGCATTGTGCGCAGTCTGAACCCTAATGCTGCAGGCTTTTTGCATCTTTACTCATCAAAAATGCCTGCACACAAGCCAGCAAGTGACAGCCTGTACACAGGGATGCTGCAGACCTCCACTAAACCTCCTGGGGAGGTTTGGGCACCTGCCCGTTGACTTCCCACCAGCCCCTGGATCTCCACCAGCCAGCCTTAAGGAATGTCAGCAGTGGCTGTAAAGGGCACTTCTCACAGAGGCATTTGTGCTGAGTCAGTGCTGGATGGCTCCTACTGTGCCCCAGCTGCGAGTGACACGTGGTGACAATGTCCTGGCTGCCATTTTGCAACAGAGGGGAAAGCAGAAATGAAGCAATACTTAAGAAAAAACACTAATTTTTAATTCTGATCCTGAGACGGCTCTGATGCACAGGTATCTGTTGGCTCTTACAGAGAACTGAAATTCATGGAGGTGATGGGGGGGGAAAGGTTAAAGTTAACCACTGGGAATACATCTTTATTGCATGCCCAATCAGTGGGGTTTCACTGAGAGCAAGCCAGTGCAGAATGGTTGGCCTGTCTGGTGGTGGGGGGAAGAAAAACATTAAATTTCTAGATTCTTAAGCTTTAGTAATGTTGTTCTGAATTGCACGTTCTCTTTGTTTCCTTTTCTGAACGTGCTTAAAGAAAAGGTGCCTATTAAAAAAAAAAATTAAATATTTGGCATTTGTTAAAACAGTTACTTCTGTCCAAATTCTAACATTTCATCTTGACACCTATAGCGTATTTGGGCTGTTTCACTTCTATTTTGAAGGGAGATGTTAAAAAATTAGTCTTTTGCAGAGGCATTAGTGTTGGATGAATTCACTGTGCTGGCATCTCCACTCTTACCTACTACTGCTTCAAAAATAATGCTACTATAAGTGTCTTACTTAGCAACTGTGTGACAGCTATTAATAATACTACAGTTTTAAACTTTCTAATTAACATCTACTACCTTTTGTAAAAAATAAATATAGAGAGATAAATAATGTGTGTCTATATTTTATGCATAAAGAATTTTAGTAAGGGAAGAGGTTTTAAATTTGATAACTTCTTACTGCTCATTTTGCATTTTAAATGATACTTTAAAATCACTACTTTCATTCATCTGGAAATATAATGACTATTTTATTATTTAAAATAGCATACTTTTTTTAGCTGTTTTATTAATTTCATTTGACTACTAACTTCTATTGTGATATTTATTAATTAGTTACACTGTAGCATATTGAGATGTTTATTTTTCTATCAGAGCTGTAACAACTATGACAAAGCATTATTTTAATGCAACATCATTGTACTTGCTCTCTAAAAAATAAAATCAATATTTAATCCATACTGATTTTTCATATTTTTAATATTAAATATATCTGTGACAAGAAAGAAGTGTTTCCCTCCTTTTAAAATATAAAGCACATTTACTGAGGTGCGCTGATACCTGCAAAGGGAAGAATATGATTGTGGTTATTTTAAAATTGAATAATATGTGTCCAAAGAGATAAAATGCAAAGAATACCTTGTTGATCAGACAAACGGTAGATGCACATTCAGGATGAACTTTGAGAAGATGGGAAGGAACACAACACTATTTATCAATTTGGAGGTGCAGCTGGTTTACCTTGCCCAACCCATCTGAAACCTGAATGCACTTTGTAGTATTTTGTAGAAGTCAAGAAGATACATATCAAGAAGATCTGTGTAAATACATTCTCTGGACTGATAAGTGGTTGTGATAGCCTCTCTTCTCCTTTGCTCTGTTGGGCAGTAGAGGAGCTGGATTTCTGGGAATGGGTAAAGCTCTGGATGTCTCATGTATGCTGCTCACTGCACACTTGGGGTACTTCACGAGTACTGGTGACGACAACATGTCACTGGTGGGGAAGGTGACACATTCTGTCCTTGTGCAGAATCAGTCATAGCATTTGCTTTGCACAGTGGCACGAAATTGCTCTTGAAAAGGACTTTAGATATGCCCTGCATAAGGACATTTAAAACTTGGTAATTTAAAACTTGCTGTGGTGCCTCAGTAAGAGATATCTGTGGCACTAAGACACCTGCAGACATCACTGGTAAAACTGCCCGTCCATGCTGCTAACATGATCCAGTTTTTGATTTAGGAGTGAGAGAGCTAGAATCAAGTGACAAATGGTGTGTTCTCAATCATCATGTAGCTTAGTGTCCAATAAAAGAGAAAGACTAAGAAAAAGTCAAAACTGGAAGGAAAAAATAAATATCACAGGGAAAGTCTGTAAATCTTTTTTGCTTCTTTTATCAAAGCAAGGAACATCATCTTAATATATGCATGGTGAGACTATGTCTGAGAAATTTCCTTTCACAAATGCCATAATCAACCTTCACTGACACCCAGAGCAAGCAGAATCAATAAGTCCTATTAAAAAAAATTACACATTTTCCTTGAAAGCTCTTTATTGAGAAAACATTCATGTTATCATTACTCAGAGTAAATATAAACCTAGATCTGAATTTCAGATGTAGAATTCAAGCATATAACTTGAGCCAGAGCTATAGGCCTCCATTTTGCCATTTAGCAGTAGATTGAAGCTTAGGTTTTGTTAACACTTAAGTCTCCCATAGCCAGTGATCCTGGCATCTGGCAGTGTTGCATATCCTGTGTGTTGTGAAATTATGGTAAGTGCTCTGTATAAAATCTTTCTTTCTCTGTTCTTTCCTTTCCCTTTCGTTCTGTAATCCAGTAACTAATTCATGCCTGTATACTTTTAAATATCCAGGTCATGACAGGGTTTTTGACACTGGCATTGTATTTAGCCAGTTTTTACCCGCATATACAGTTGTTAGCAAGAGTATGACAGGACCTAAATGTGTCTCTAACATAACACAACTGCTATTTTCTTGCAGATGCCATTGCCAAGGAAAAGACTTGCTGCCCAGACTCTCCAAAGAGAAAAGAAACCTAAATTACAGCCTCTAAAGCTGGAGGAGGAAAGAGATCTTGATTTCAGCCACTTTTTTGACACCAGTCATGTAGGTGTATTCTCTTATAGAATTTCTCTGCCTGCATGATTCCTTTTGTGGTAGCTGTAGAATTTGATCCAATATTCAGAGAGACTAACATTAAGGAGTGTTGGCTTGAGTATCTGAATATGCCTCATGATAACCAAAAGATGATGATTAGAATTAAGAATAAAAACTTTGTCAACAGACTGATTTTGACTAGTAAGGAGTTAATCTGACAAGTGGGTGGTTTCTTTTGCTTTCAGGTTCTGCAACAAAGACAAGATCCTTGGAAATGCATTCCTGCTAGCCTGGGTTTTTAACCAAGCAGTTTAATGTATTGTACAAAGTAAATAAAAATCTAGTTTTACAGAAACTCAGGTGGTGTGAAGCTGATTAGAACACAGGTGCTGTCAGTTCTTCTGGCTGCTCATCTTCTGTTTGGGAGTCTTGGAGCAGTCCAAGTTGGGTAGGACTGTACAGAATTCATATATATGCCAGTCGGATTTATTAGTACTCAAGAGGCCCCAACATTATCATCTGGTTCCTCATTCCAGGAAACTGTGGTGGGTGGCAGAAAGCAGAATTTTCCTTATTTTTTGCAAGCTATTCTGTCTCCTCAGCACAGAGCTTAGCATGGTCTCTGATTATTTTCTTGGCCTTGAACTTCATGATTCATGAAGGACAGTTACTGTTTAATAAAGATTATGTGCATGCAAGCAGATAAAACTAAATTATTAACCACAAAAGTATAATAATGCCAAGTTATGTCACATATGCTTATTGAAATCGGTACATGTGATGTATTTCTCTCAGCTCTGCAGCTTGCCAAGTCCCCCTTTTGGGGCTCTATGCCTCATCCTAAGCCTCTTGTTTATGCCTGAGCAATCTGGAGAGCCCAGGACCTGTTTCTGAGTGGTGTTCCCCTGCTCTCAAAACTGCTCACAGGAGAAGCCTTTCTCAGAAACCCCCTTCTGATTTTTTGGGCTTTGACCATAGCCTTACTGCAGGCATTCTGAAAGCATCACTGAGGCTGTAAGGTGTGTGGCCTGCTGAAGAGACTGGGGACAGGACAGTGGATGGGTTTTTCATAAAATTTTTGGACCCACTTTTGCCTTACTCTGCTCTAGACAAAGCAGGAATTTCAAAGATTTATACAACTTAACCATGGTGTTCTCTGGATTGTCCTTGTCTTCAGGAGTGTTTATGGGTGGCTTCTTTCCTTGAATCATTTTGCAGCTATACCCAGGCTCCTGTGGAAAAAACCCCACAACAGCTAAAATAAATACTTCCTGTCTTTCTCAGCTTCTTTTCTCCTCTTCTTGTGTATCTCTCTATATCTAAATTGAGCTCTACCTGTGTCTTTGAAAATTGCAGGCACAGGATCAGAGGGCTTCATTAGGAAACAGCTGATGAGGAAAGCTTTTTTACTTTTGGGCAGAAAAGAGCAAGTTAAAGTCTGTAGTGCAAAGCTAAACAGAGCATCTCTGAACTTGGTCAGGTGCAGTCCCATTCCCCTGCTCCTTTCCAGAGTTAAGAAGCTGGGCTTTTATCTTGGTGTACTACCCAGCTCACAAAAATTCTCCTGCTGTAAGCTTTAAATCACAGCTTCTGCAAGGTGTTTGCAACATGCAAAGTCCAGAGATATATTTCTCCTCTAGTATCCCCATTCTGATGACAGGGTTTTTTTTTTCATTTATAAGCATTTCTTTCTGCATAACTTTCTGTGTGTGTCTGTCTGTATATTCATCCAAGTTTACTTTTCCTCAGCATCAAGAAGTCCATCTCTGATTGCTAAGCAGCCTGCCAATCTATATGCAGGCATAGTCTCACACACCTTTTTTGTATATGCTTAAAATGGGATTCCTCCCCTAATTTCATTTGCATAGCAGGATCTTCCTTTTATAATTCCTGTTTCTGTTAATGGCTAGCTGCTATCATGTTGAAGCTGTGACTTGAAGTGTTCCCTGGTGTCTTTATTTATTCTTTGTGCTTTTGTCCTTTTTGGCTGCTGCCTAGCACATTAAACCTAAAACACAGAAGACAGACGCAGCACCTTATCCAGGGATTTTTGGTTCACAAATAGGTCCTAATCACAATGTCAAAAATAATAAATTAATGTTTCTTTAGACAGTTTTTATCTCATGCCTTTGAAAGTAGAAGCTTTTTTCCTCATGCCTTTGATTTTTTTAAAGAAAGAATCATTTGGCCCAAAGAAGGAAAAGATAATGTGTCAGATCATTTTGCAAATCCAAAAAGTGTCATTCTCAGAAGGAAGATTTATTATTGTGTGACAGACTGAAAGTGTTTCATGCTGTCTAAAATAAAAACCAAGTAGATTAATTTCCAGACCCAAAATCAAACAAACTCTGCTTTCAACAGTTTTGTCCAAGGTTCACTTCTGTGAAATTGCTGGGCCCTTGTGGTTCAGTTGAAGACTGTGTTAGAAGTGAACATGCTGAGCAGCTTTAAATATCAAATACATAAGATCCACTTTGATATCAGATATATAGCAGTTTAGAAACATTAATGCAATATGTTATATTCCTTCTTTAAAAAAAAACCACAACCTTTTACAGAACTTGTTTGGTGATCCAAAACATAAGAAGCTTTATTTATTGTCTTAGCTGGTGTTCTGTCTTGGATCACCAAGAATTTCTGCTAGCAAATATTGTGGAGTATTCTTATTTTTTCTATTTGTCCCCTTTTTATCCACCAAATAAAAAATAGGCCGTTTGGACTTAAACTATCTGAAAATAATGCAATGCATCATTTACTGTAATTTCCTGTACTAACCAAGAACTTTGCTTGTCTAATTAGCTGGCTTTTTGTCAATTGTGTTATTGTACTCAGTAACTTTTTTTCCCTCCTTTTCATTTGTTTTTTTGTTTTTTTTTAATTTATGTGGGGAAGGAAAATTTAACAAATGTCTGTCAGCATCATTTGAAATATCTCAAAGAAAAGTATTACCCAGTCTAATTGTTATTATTTAAGTGATTTTATACATTTGGTGCCCTTATTCCTATGGAATTCAAGTGTTTTCACCTTGCCAAATTTTACTCACTTACTTGGTCAGTGCTTGGTTCCTGCTTCTTCCTTAGGTCAATGCAAGTGCTTGCCAGCAAAGTCTGCAATTGACCTTTGAACTAATGAAATAAGGGAATTACTATTCCTCAGCAAGCTTTGGCAAAGTGGACAGTATTGTAATTTTTATATGATTACAACACCTGGGCTATTGAAGTTTTATTGGATATAAAATGTATAGTCAATTTATACACAGCTGCCTTGAAGTCAGCAGGATAACATACTTGAAATTTTGGTAATTCTGAGGGTTATGATGTGAGGGACTGTCTTGAAGAACTTTC